CTGCTAAGAAGATTATCGATCGCGCTGCTTATGTCGAGTTGATGTGGCGACCGCCTAGCCTAGCCGTGTCCGCCCGTTTTTCGAACACAGAGGACTTGTATTAGGGAGACCGCATGGTCGCATATATTTACATGCGTATGAATATACATGCATGCCACGCAAAGGTCCTGATAAATGAAATGGTTTGGACGATGAACAAGCGCATGTGTGTGTGTGTGTTGAGGCCTACCCGCATACATTTGCACATACGTGCGCGTATGGGTAGTTGTCAAAATTAGGGTTTGTTTGGGTGCCCTAAATAACAGGTTCCGTACTATATTCGGGACCAAAAAGGGACCATAATTTTGACAACCACCCATATGTATATGTATATAAATATATATGTATATATATATATATATATATATATATATATATACATATATACACATAAATAGCATGCGCACAGAACGCACATTACGTGATGGGTGGGCTGCTCGCATGTAGCATGTGGAGTGTGGTCGATTAGACCCTGGTTCGCGTTACGCACACATGTTGCTGTATACGTGGAGTTACACGCATACATGTATCTGTAAATCAGTTTTAAATTAAATAGACACACACACACACACATATATATATATATATATAGAGAGAGATGTAGGTACGTACACACAAATGCGTAAGCATGTAGATGTATATATATATATATATATATATGTATATGTATATATGTATATTTGGAAGGAAGTATGTCGGTGTGTGTGTGTGTGTGTTTGCGGTGGTGCTTGTTTTGTTTTACTCTTCCTGAGCGTACTTGTGTGTAGGTTCTCATACAAAGCACTCTTTTCTGCTAATGTGTGTATGTAAATGTCCTTTGTACATGCATGTCCTTTTTGTGAGCAACCATTTGCGCAGGCAGGCTTGCATTCTCGTGCTGGCATTTGGTTAAGCAGCGGTTGAGAGGTGATTCTCTAGGGATCTAGGGGCAGACGATCCGCACACAACGAGAGATGTATCTGCTCCTCGAAGCGCGTGTACCGCGGCGGCTGCGCGATCTGTGTCGTCGCCTGCCGAGAGAGGCCACTTTTCAATAGTTGTGTTGACCTGTGGCGGACACCACCGCATTTCCTGCACTTGTTGACAGGCAAATGCACTAGCTGACTCAAGCGAGCCCGTCGCCTCCACCTTGTTTCGGTTTGGACCATTCTTTCGAGACCACGGTGCCTGTTGATGCTCCTGCTGTTGCTATGCTGATGATTAATTTCTTTCGGTACACATCGATGATTTGGGTCGAGTGTCTGTTGACACTAATTTCGAAATGCAAGTTTCATCATGTTCAGTCCGATTTGAGGTTGCTCGAGTTCTACCGAAGGTGAGGCTCGTTCAAAAGTTATTCAGCTAGACACATGCACAATGATTATCAGCAAGTTCCTGCAGCACCGGTTCTTTCTGATGGCTATCTTTGTCAGCAGCAAGAACCTGTGGCGTTCGTACAGTATCCTTTCTACCGGCATAAAATCTCAGGTGGCTGAACAAAGATGAACATGGTGATGTGCATTGACTTCGCGAGTTTTTGTACGAGAAACCATGCAGAGCCCAGCGTAGGCTGAAATGTAAGGCTCGGGGATCATATGTTACCTAGGACCTAGGTCCACCTGGAAAAGTGGAGACGGCTTTGGAAGCCATGATAGCCGGTGGAGGGAGACCCTCGCGGAAAAAGGACCTAGCCTCGCAGGTTGGGCTTCACAATCTGTCTATGCATAGGTACGTACGTGTGTATGTACGTATGCAAGTCATGTATGTATGTATGTATGCATGCATGCATGCATGTATGCCTGTATACATGTACGCGTGTATGCGTGCGCAACTAACTGTGTATTGAACAACCATGTGCAGACGCGTGATAAAAGCACTAGTTTGGATGCATGTACATGTACATCTCCCTCTCTCTCTCTCTCTCTCTGTTCCGTTCTATCTGTATACGTGTATGTATGCGCGCACACAGACACAGAGACACACATACATGATCATACATGTGTGTTTGTGTGTGTGTGTGTCTGTGGATGTGGACGGGGCCGGTCACCGTAAGTCTACCGTAAGCACAACAAGCAAGATCTGGATACTGTCCGCCGGCAGTGACCCCAATCCAACCCTAGTAAAAGCCAGCCCGGCAGTCGCAGCAAGAAAGCGGAAATGCACACAGCACGCAGAACAAAGTTTAGATCACGGGTAGTTTCCGCAAAAGAGCCATCCAAAGGAACTGTGCTTACAACAGCAGTCGTCCTCATCGCCACAATATCAGAACCAGTAGTAGCAGTCGTCTTGGCAGTAGTCGTAGTAGGCATAATAGACGTCGTAATAGTCGTAGTAGCAGCAGTAGTTTAGTAGTAGTAGTAGTCGTAGTAGGAGGAGGAGGAGGACGAGGAGGAGGAGGAGTAGCAGAGGCAGCAGCAGCCGCAGCCGAGTCGTAGCCGTTGTCGTCGTGTCGTTGTAGTGGTACCGTAGCTGCCATAGCTGCCACATACCAGCAGCGCTATGACTATCACTGCGACAACCACTGTTTCGACCGTGGACCATGACGACTCCCTTTGTGATCCCTCTGTCTACTCTTTCTCAATCTTACTGCTCGAAGCTCTGCGTGACCTTTCTGCGATGAATTGAACGATCAAACAACGTGATCTCCCTTTGCCATAGTCTTTTCTTGCCGTCCCTAGTCGAGAAGATGTTGGGCTCAGGCGACGCATCGGCAAGTCCTTCGAGGGTCCGCGGGTTTGAAATTGTTACTAAGCCTTGGTGCACTGTGCTTGTTTTCAGGAAGCTTTTAAATATTTCATCTTCTGTTGAGGGATATTGCAGAGTAATTAATTATAGCCCTCGTCAACTTGTTTACTCGAAATCCCTTCGTTGCTTGCAATGCACAGGCATGCCCAACCTCAGCTCCTTGAAGTCACCACCCCAAAACGTCTCAAGCTGCCACAGAGCAGGAATATGGGTCTCGATGCTGTGTTGCTTGCTGCATTTGCGCTTCAGTACTTTCGGGTTCAGCCCCAAGAGACAACACTTGCACTGGAAAGCCGACGCCGTGAACGAACTAATCATGCCTGAGCACGCACCAAGCCACCTTCAATCCCCAAGATGTACGTACGTACATGTCCATACGGATATGCATAGTTGTGTGTGTGTGTGTGTGCGTATGTATGCACGCAAGTAGTGGACAAGCTTCACCCCTGCACTCACGTAGTTTCGTGTGCATGGGGTAGTGGTAGTAGTAGTAGTAGTAGTAGTGGTGGTAGTAGTAGTAGTAGTGGTAGTAGTAGTAGTAGTAGTGGTAGTAGTAGTAGTAGTAGTAGTAGTAGTAGTAGTAGTAGTAGTAGTGGTAGTAGTAGTAGTAGTAGTAGTAGTAGTAGTAGTAGTAGGAGTAGTAGTAGTAGTAGTAGTAGTAGTAGGAGTAGTAGTAGTAGTGGTAGTTAGTGCCAATAGTAATAGTAATAGTAATAGTAATAGTAATGGCAATAGAAATGATCACCAATGGAACTGGTACTTTCGATGGTAATGGTAATGGAACCAGTCATACTAGTAGCAATGGCACTTGCACCAGCACCAGCACTAGCACCAGTAGTAGCAGCAGTAGCAGTAGCAGCAATATGCCTTTCCAGAGAACAGAGAACTGAGAGGACATCAACAGTCATGACAACTAATTAAGGCAACTAGGTCAGGAAGCCAGCCGACTCGTGTTTCTCGCAGGCCTCGTCGGGCGGGAGCTCCGTGTGCAAGCTCAGCTTTTTTGAGTAAGGGAGTGCTTCGATGTGGGGCTTGGCCTGCACGCCCTAAGCCCTGGCCCTACGACTCCTACTTGGAGGTTCATGGGTAGTTATAAGAAAGGTTATAAGATTAGGGGACTTATAACCCCACTTATGACTACCCATGAACCTCCGAGAAGAGCCAAAACCTGTGGGCCTTCCTCACTTGGGGAAAGCTGAACGTATCAACCATCACCGTCACAGCACGTGACAGTTGGGATTCCACCGCTGGTACGATAATATGCCTTATGCTCTGCAGCAGCTACCCAAAGCGTGCAAACACCCGTGATGCGGATGCTTCCAGTGTTCAGCTCGAGTGTTAGTGTTTTCGTGTTTATCATTAACAGAAAGGATACTTGTCAGCAGTGCGAAAGGTGTGGTCACTCTGCTGATGCTCATCTTCGCCACTCTTTCTGCTAATTATGCCTATTTTATTCCAATCCTGAGTGTGCCGTTGTTTATTCGCTTTCCGCTTCAGTGCCATCGACATGAGCTTCCGCAAGTGTACATGACCCCAAGTAGTGACGCTTAGGATCCGGCCTTTTGAGACCCTTGATAATTATGAGGCCCGGCCCTCACCGCGCTCCGGTCGCTCCACTTGCTCGGCGCGCTCGGCGCGCTCGGCCCGGCGTGCGCCACGGCTGGCGGCGCCAAAGTTTGAGGACTGATTTTGGTTGACTCAGCATCGGGGTTTCTAGGCCCAAAGTGTGGCCTACGAATAGTTGGCATAACAATTTCTCAACCTATAGACTCAACTTGTAGAAACCCAGTCCATTGATTTTTGTCTATGTCCAGCAGGGGTAGCCTTGGACCGGCTTTGGACAGAGCCTGAATAACAAGAGTTTCCAATGCCCGTCGCTCTTAACAAGGAACCCGAAGCGGGATACTGGGTTCTCTTGCTGCGGTTTTTCCCGGTGTCGGGCTAGTGGACGGTTTGGACCTCCCAGTTGTTCTTCCAAGGTTTAGGGTGGAGGGCGTCGGGTCTTGAACAATCTCTTGCTGAACCGTTGATCTTTGCAGATCTCATCGCCCCGAACTTCGTCTTCCGGTCCGGTCCCCGGTTGTCACTGGCCTGAGCACCCGCATACAACTGGCCGGTATCGAAGAAATTCGTAATGAGACGAGGGAGTCCAACACTTTGTACTTTACACTTGGCATTCCGGACGTTCAGTTGTTTCAGGGACTCCAGGAGAGGGACACTGAGAGCAAGCATTGCAGATGGTATGGATGGTTGCCAACGAGGTGGGCCCTCAAGGAAACTGAGTTAGTACTCCAAGGTATCATCGAGTACTCTGCAACAGCGACAAGTTACAACTATGGAGGTTATGGTGGACGGCATGCTGGTACTAGGCCGTAGTAGCAGTACGCGGGTTACTGCTTACTGTTGGTATTATTCTCATTATTATGCCCATTTTCATTACTGTGTTATTCTTATGTGTATTGTATTAGTACGCGATGATTGTTGCTACTGCTACTACCACTACCACTACCACTACCACTACCACTACCACTACCACTACCACTGCCACTGCCACTACCACTACCACTACCACTACCACTACCACTACCACTACCACTACCACTACCACTACCACTACTACTACTACCACCACCACCACCACTACTACTACTACTGCTAATAATAATAACAATAATAATAACAATAATAATAATAATGATAATAATGATAATAATGATAATAATGATAATAATGATAATAAGAATAAGAATAAGAATAAGAATAAGAATAAGAAGAATAAGAATAATAAGAAGAATAAGAATAATAAGAATAGTAATAATAATAATAGTAATAATAATAATAACAATAATAATAATATTACCTGGTATAGGAGGGGCTTATCGTGATCTCAAGTGAGGACGCGGAAGACTGGCACGGATGACCCCATCACCTTGCAGGTCGGTCTTCTCAGTTTAATCCGGGTGACTGGTATCATAATAATATAGGGGGGGGCCTTAATAATAATTACCACAATACTATTTTGGGGGTTCCTTGCTATAAATATGTATTGAATATAGGGGCCTTAATAATTTGCCTATACTATTTCGGGGTTCCTTGTTATAATTCTAGTATAATCGACCCCCAAACCCCATTCTAATTATTAAGGCCCCTATATTAGATGCTTCGTAGCAGGGTTTAGGGCTTTTAATGTTGTATGATCAAATCTTCCTTGATTTCCCTGGCTAGCTAGGCTTCTATGTTCCATGGGTCACTGGTGGCAGCAGTGTTGGGGGCATAAGAACACTGACAAAGATAATTTGAACAAGATGACGTTTCCGTTGCAGTAGCTACCAGCTTGAGCTTCTTCTGGAAGCGAAGCTTGATTGAAAATCATAGTTTCAAGGCACCGGTACAGTCAATTCCGTTTTTGCAGTAGTCGTCATTGCTGCCGTTCGTACTCCAAAGTGGCCCCAAACCGCGAACAACGCTGGACCCCCCTCAGCTGACCCCCCCTCAGCCCGCAAAATTAGCAACTGCTTCGATCCCCAAGCTCCAAAGCCACCCAACAGCCTACGGCGCTTAGGCCATACTTGGAGGTTCATGGGTGGTCATAAGTAGGGCAACTATACTTATAACCCATGTTTGGGGGACTTTTAACCCTACTTATAACTACCCCTGAACCTCCAAGTAAGCCCTGAAGTCCATTTTCAGCCTTCCGGGATTGCAGGTCGGCTCGATCCTGTGGGTCACTCAGGGTGCCGGTAGCCGTCGCTGGGGGGGGGCCAAGCATGCTGTGGGCTTGTCTGGGATTCGTGGGACTTGATAGATAGATTTCCTCGTATGGAAGGCTTTTTCTACATTTCCTATGTTTCGGGAGACCTCTTCTAAGGCTTCAGCAAGAACAAGGCGAAGGTACCCTGACGTTGTTGACAGTGCTGAGCCAGCATTTGATTTCTTGTGTGGGGGCTTGATGGTATGCGTGGCCTAGGCTTGGTGTAGGATGTTCCCAACTGAACGCCAGTAACTAAAGCCCTGAAGCCCCAAGTCCATAAAACCTGAAGCCCTAAACCCCTGAACCCTAACCTACTACACCCTGGAACCCTAAAGCAGCTGAGCCCTAAAGCCCTAAACCCTAAACCCTAAACCCTAAGCCCTAAACCCTAAGCCCTAAACTACTAAAACCCCTATCCCAAGGCTCGAGCCCCAAATCCATGATGCCCTTGGGCCCCTTTGAACCCCAAACCCCCAAAACCTCAAGCCTTAAACTACTAAACCCCTAAATCCTAAACCCCTAAACCTTAAACCCTAAACCCCTAAACCCTAAATCCTAAACCCTAAACACTAAACCCCTAAAGCTTAAACCCCTGAGCCCTAAAATACTAAACCCCTAGCCCCAGGCTCGGACATGAGCGTCGTCAGCTGTGGCTCGCGCTTCTCTCGGCTCTCTCGGAGGAGCTCTTCGAGGTGGCAACCTGGGGATAATTTTTGGGGTGTTAGGGGTTTAGGGTTTTAGGGTTTTTAGGGTTTTAGGGTTTTAGGGGTTTTAGGGGTTTTAGGGGTTTCGGTGTGGGGTTTAGGGTTGTGGGGTTTTAGGGTTTTAGGGTTCAGGGTTTTAGGGTTTAGGGTTCAGGATTTAGGGTTCAGGATCTTGTCTTCGGCTTAGCGTGTAGGGTCTAGGGTTTGGTGAGGTTTCCAAATGGTCAGGGATTAGGGGGTAGTAACTGGTAGTGGTAGAAGGTGAGGTACATGGCTTTATCAGGGCGGCAAGGGGGGAAGCCTGGCTTCGGGACTGGTAAGTTTGTTCTTTTCGATTTGGGTTTTAAATTTCGGTGGATGCCGCGAAATTCGGGAAGGTCTAAAAGGCATCAGTGGTACGGCTTTGTAGCCGCCCGTCGCCAGTCACAAGAGGGTGGTTCACAAGCGAATGTCTGAATTCCTTGCAAGACCCATGGCCGGTCTATAGTTAGTATTATTAGGGAGGCCCCTTAAAGGGTACCCCTTCTGAACCCTACTTCTGGCTCTCTTAAAAGGGGCCTCATTGAGAGGGTCTATATCCCCAAGGGTCCCCCTAATCCTAACTCCCTTTTAGCCTGTCCAGACAAGGTGCTGCAGCACGAATCCTTGGTTTGAAGGTTTAGGCTTTGGGGTGTAACTTTTGCTAACTAAGGCTTCCGGGCTGTCAGGTCTTAGATGGGAATTTGATTCTAGGTTTCTGTAGGGCTTTTCCATTTCGCTTCAGTTCTGAGATGTTTTTGACTTCAAAGACTGACTGAGTGATTTGAAACTGAGAGATCGCTGGAGGCATTGGGCGCAGTGTCTTGTATAGTACAAGCCAGAAAGGCTGGAACATGGATTTAGGATGATTTGTGCTAGGATCCCTTATACTTTACCTTAAGCGCATGGGGATAATGATGTTCCAACTTTCCGGCTTCTACTATAGGATTAAAGCGCAGCGTGATTCAGCATGTTTCAGGGTTTTCGTTTGTTTGGGCTGGGTCATGCAAGTGGACATCGGAATACACGTGGTGGCTACCTTGATGCCGTGGCTGGCCAGGCAGGTACTTTATCCCGCAGCTTCTTAAACTTAAGGTCCTCAGTCCTCGTGTTTGCACCTGGAATAACTGGAAAGCTGTCAGAACCGATGGGCAGGCACAGCTGCCTGAGCAGTGCGGACCTCGAGGAGATGGAGATGGAGGCTCACTGGGGCTGTATCTAATGGAGGGTAGACCCCAAACCCCTCCCGGTCAGTGGCTGCGGAGGTGACAGGGGGCGGGGGGGGGGGGGGGGGCTCTCAGTGCCTCAAAAGCCTAGCAGCTTGACCAGGAGGGGCGGCGGAAGCTAAAGTTGCAGCTGCGTCGCAACTCGCGGACCTACCGGCAGGCTGCACGCTGAAAGCTTGGATGATGTTTGGGCTTGCCGTCCAGAATAGCCCACGGAAAGCCCTAACTCCAGGTTCGATTTCAGGGATTGGACTTGAGTTAATGTAAGACCGCAACATCTTCACGGCCGAGATCCAAATCCTTCGGGTGCATCGCTTTGGATTCCATCGGGGTTTCATCCACAGCTTGCTCGAAAAGACGCTAAGCCAAAGACTTTAGGGTTTAGGGTATAAAGTTAACCCTAAACCGGAGCCCGAAAGCAGGCACTGAACTTTCCGGACATGCGCCACGATCCCAGACTTCGACCACCGACATGAGGGATCAGGTCAGATGTGTGGCTTCCAGAAGCTTCTGCTACTTGCCACATGTGCTGTCGACAAGTGAACTGTGCCTGCACATGACGCTTTGGAGTCATCTTCAACCTAGAGATTTACAATGAAGGTTGTCTTGAACGTTTGAATCCTTGCAATCGATGCTTGCAGCCTGTGGACCCGAGGTCGCGGTCATCATTCTCTGAAGTTGACGGTGCCCGAAGAGTTCAACCTAAGCGTCTCCGACATGATTTTCTTCGTGTCTGGACCGAGACTGCTCTTGTTGTCTCTTCCTGATGCGAGCATGCGCACAGCGCCAACTTGTGTGATCTTGTGTACTGCTCGATTGCCGCGCAGCCCTTTACAACCAAATCGGTCTCTCGTGCATAAGCTCCATCGGCATTCTGTGCGACATCTTGGTGGTCGACGCCCACGGTGGACAAGCAGCTGGTCTACACAGTCTACACAACAAATCAACTCGCCGGGGGAGTGTTTCGCTGTATCTCACCTCCCGAACATAACCACCACCCCTTTGAACTGAAAGGAAACAGCCGAAGCACCCAGCTTGGAGACGAGGAACTACGAGATGCTATGGCAGAGCTCTCGAAGAAGTTGGGGCTCTTCGAGAGAGTGCGCCACGTGTGTCATGCAGTGCAGATTCCATTGCCGGGTGTGGTCGTGGTGGGTGAGCAATCTGCTGGGAAGTCCTCACTGCTCGAAAGCATCTCCGGCATCCAGTTCCCCCGTGCTCAGAACGCTTGCACAAGAATGCCCTGTGTGCTGACCATGTTGACGGATCCTGCTGTTGACCAGCCCTTCGCTCTTGTGTCCATGGATGCGAGCTTCGCAGATGTCGCTGCCTAAGCACCAACCGCACCGAATCCCAACTCGGACTCAGCATGCCAAGTGTTGCGTACCTGCAGGGTCACATTGACACAAGCAGCCCAGGAGGCGCCATGCTCCGTGATGGAGGTCGAGAAGACGATCAAGAAACTGACCTTGGAGCATGCGACTGGTGCAGACTTCATCTCCAAGAAGGCTTTTTGAGAGCTAGATGACGAATGCCCAAGCCTGTCCTTTCACGCCAAGTCACTATGCTTTGTGATGCCATGCGCAGCATGTGGCACTGGTTTTCGAGCAGTTGGACATCGGCTAGGCTATTTCACAGGTCGCACCAGTGATTAGAGTTCAGGCTTGACGGGTGGGTTGGCACAGATTCAGACACCGACACACACGCAGATGTAACCTGACGCACGGATACGAGAGAACCGCATCTGCAAGGACAGAGGCACAGATTCACAGAGAGAGAGCTTCTTCCGTGTACTTAGTTTTTCAGTCTCACATTCATGATGCCATGAGCTGGAGCCAGGCGCTTTTAGTGCGGGTGGTGCGCAAGGAGGGACCTCAACTTTCATTGATTGACCTTCCTGGCGTGACCCACAATGCTGATCGAATGGAGGACATACACGAGGCGAATCCGAGCTTCTCAAGGCTGTTTCCTTCTGCTAGATATGCAATTGAAGCCTGGAAATTAGGTGACCGTGTCTCTGGTGGAAGAGTACATCAAGCCACACGAGATGGTCATTCTCTGCGTCATTCCTGCGATGTCGGATTTTAGAAACGCTGAGGCGAGGGGCATCTGTCCGAACATGAGCCTTTACTGTATTCGGCATGCTGCACTTGATGCTCAAGTGATACAGGTGTCACCTGTCTTTGTCAGGTGGTAAAGCTCGCGAGGAAGTACGACCCTCAGGGTATTCGTACGCTCGGAGTGGTCACAAAGTGCGACGATGCTGCCTGTGCAGAGTCCTCCGATATCGTGGAGAAGGTGGGCCCGATTTGCGTCACACAAGAACGTCACAACTTCGAGGTCTTGTCGTCTGTGTTGAAGTAATGCATGTGGGCTGTCATGTACCGGTATCCTTTGCAGGTGTTGATGGAACGAGAGACGGACGTGCGACTGCAGCTTGGTTGCGTGGTGAATCGCTCTCAGAAGGATCTTGATGAGGGCATGAGCAGGGCAGATCTATGGGACAAGGAGAGGAAGATCTTCAATTGCGAGCGCTTGCGGAACCTTCCCGGAGAGTATTGGGGCACCCGGGGTCTGATGGAAAAGATCGCCAAGATCCAGGAGGACAGGGCGGATGAGTGCCTGCCGAAGATCCGGGAGGACGTGCGGAAGAAGACGGCGGAGATCAGAAACGAACTCCGGGCCTTGCCAGCACAGGTTGAAACTGAGGCCGACCAGTTCCGCTTGTTCAACAGCACCATCAACGATATCAGGAGTGATTTGGAGAGACGCGTGCCGAATTCATGAGCACAGAGGCAGCCGACCGCGAGCTCACCATTGCCCCGCGTGTTGCCAAGATGATCCAAGAGTTTCGCCAGGAGCTGCTTTCAAGAAATCCACACTGGCTAGGAGAGCGGATGATCGGTGAGGTGGAGGACACGGTGGCTACTTTTGTTCGCGGATACACTGTGGACAATCTGACTAGGCCACAGGTCTTCGTGAACCTCATTCAGCGTGTTTTCGTCGAGGAGGGACTCTTGAAGGACGCGGTTGGGGATTTGGTATTGAATGTGGCAGAACACTTGCACACTGTGGTACACCACGTGGTGTCGACTCACGTGAGGATAAACGCTGTGCTGGCCAACCGCCTAGCCGAGCCATGAAGGCTGAAGATTGCGTTGATGGCTTCATGGCCAAGGCAAGGGATGTCTGTGAGATGATGGCGGACGCACAGCAAGTCACGTCCACCACACATGGCGAGTACATGGTGAGGCTGACACAGTTCCGTAAGTCGTGGCTTCGGGAGAAGGCTGATGGTCTCAAAAAGAACATTGCAGAAGCCCTCGTAGGCTCGAAACGTTTTGATGACCAGCCGGAGCTTCCGCCAGATTTTGTTGACGTTGTCAGAGACGCTCAGTACGAGCCTGACAAGCTTGCCGTTCTTGAAATGTGTGCCTCTCTGCATGTTTACACCGGTTTTCTGCTTGAGGGGTTCGTCGACATGGCCTCCAAGATGGTGAAGTACAGCATGGTCGAGCAGTTGGGCAACAAACTTGAGGAGAAGTGGCGCGAGGAGCTGGGGGAAGCAACCTGCACGAGCTCTTCCCGAAGGACGATCGCACGTCGACAAAGGAAGGATCTCCAAAGAAAGGTGGAGGCCTTGGAGGCCTTCAAGGCAGGGCGACCTGTGCAGGCAGTTCTGTCTCTGCCCTGTTGCAGTCGCAGTGCATGTGTCATAGTTGGAGCAGTTTGCCCGAACTCCAAGCCGCAAATGCTGCCAGCAGGAAGAGCTGTCGCGACTCAAAGTCGCGATAGTGTCGACCCCAGTACGGAAGGCGTTTGGAAAGAAGATGAAGCCAGCGGCTGGAGCCACCGAGCCGACCAACTCAAACACCTTTTTTGGAAGTGCCCACGCCATTGAGGGCCAAGGGCCCAGGCAGGAGCGCCGTGGACTCAGACTCCAACCGGAAGCACGAGACCGACGATGCTGGCGAGTCTGACGAGTGTGCACGAGTGGACGAGCGGAAGGCCCAGCAGACCAGTCAATCACACTCAACCCAAGAACAACGGCCGCATTTCGACGACTGCTCGGATGCTGACGGGCCTCCTGCTTTTTCGGATTGGGAGAACGAGTGTTCCGACTCGTCTCCGCATGCAGGGAAAGAATCTGCACACTCTATGGCAGAGAGTTGCAAAGGCGGGAGCCAAACAAAGGCTGTAAGCCAGCAGGTTAAGCCGAGCAGCTCCAACAAGAAACACGGGAGACATAATAAGGCCGATAGGCGTGCCGGCTTGACGTGCAGAGCAGGTCTCCTGTCTATTCAGTTTTGCTTGGGCTTCTGTGGCTTGACTGCTGTGGAAGGTTTCCTTCGACGCTCTCTCCCAATTCGAAAGCATGCCACTGGCTGTTCCTGGCCATCGAAAATCTAGCTTCAAGTTCAGATGCAGATGCTCTGACATGCAGGCATCGTGGAGGCGAGGCAAACTCTAGTCATGGGCCAAAGTGACCGTCGCCACGACGGTATTTTGTGATGGAAGTACTCGCGGCTACAGTTGCTTCGTGCCTGGAGTATGCCATATATGCCTCCTGAGTTTCAACATAGATGACTTTGCTTCAGAGCCAGTGCAGAAAGAAAGACGAGCGCGTGAATTCCAATGTCGTCCTGGCCATTCGCAAATGGTTTTCTGCAAAGGGACCGTAGCAAGCACGTCCGCAAGGTTCATTGCAGAAAAGGTTTGGCAGAAGCGATTCTGCTATTTCAGCCATTGATGATCCTTCCTGAGCTAGCAGTATAGTCATGCGCTTTTTGACAATGTCAGGTGTCAGCAGTCGCTCGCTGCAAGAAGGCGATCGTGATTCCCTCTCACGCACTTTGCCTCCGGGTGCTTCTGGCAGCTACAGTGAAACTTTAGTGTCGAGCAAGTTCAGTCGGTGTCCCCTGCTCGTGTGATGATTAACATTGACAAATTGGTTCTCGCCAGCTATGCAAAAGAGCCCACGGCAAGCGCCGCAGGCTCCAGAACTGTAGTAGACCAGCGGTTTGGTGCAAGTCCGCCGCCACTAGACTAGTGTATTGACAGATACCCACATTCACGATGCATGCTTTGCTGGCTTCCGCCCCCTCCCCCAACATCTGCATTCAATTTGTCCCCTCCAGGTCTAGCGTTACACCGTGGATGTAAGGGCGTACAGGGATTGGCAGCTGCCAGTTAGATGCGGTTGGACGGCGAGGTGCTGGAAGCCAACGAGGCGCAGTGGTGGAGCATCAGGTTGCTTGTTTCTCGTTCCCGGAGCTTAAGCGTTTATTAGAAGCTTAGTTTGTGTTCTAATTGTCGGTCGGCAACAGTTCGGAGCCGATCGTGCCAAAGACTCGCCTAGTGGACAGTGTACGGTACCACCGTATGCAGGGACAGCGACAGCAATATTCATGAACACGATTGTAGTTGTTGTGAAACACCTGCAACATGATGCCAACATTGGTTCGATCTTGCGATGTCTCCGGCTCGAGCGTAACATCCTTTAGAAGTAGATCTACATCAAGCCGGCAGCACTGAAAGCCAGCTTCCAGCTACCATCTTGACGTTTGTTTGCTGTAACAAGCTTGGGCCTACGACTAGGCGGAAAGAACCGTGCCTGATTCAGCAGCCAGATCAGATACAGGGCAAAGCGAGAACCACGGCCCATGGCAAACCCTGGCCAAGATACCGTGGAGGTGGAGGCTCGCCGGCCGAGCTTGCCTGGCTTTTTGTTTCGTGCTTTTTCGTTTTTGGGCAGGAAAGACTCCGTTTCGATGAGGCGGCGCTGGCAAGATACTTGATCTCCCAGGCAGGGCAAGGCGATCGGCCTTTCATCTCAACGTTTCCCGACCTGTGCACAGTGGATAACGGGCTGCTAGGGCCTGCCTGGCGTGGAGGGCGGACCTCTGAAAGTGAAGAAGTTCGGCTACGGACAGCCGCGGCCTCAGCTTCGTCCAGGAGCAAAGGTCCCGTAATGTCCTGTCGGACTCCCAGCACCAAACGCAAAGGGAACTGATGCATGCGGAGTCTACAGGGTAGTTCAGTTCTTATATCGGGGCTCAGGTCCAATCCCACCTACTGCTTGGACACCCATGGCGGACAGAGGCCGGCATGCGCTCGCAGTCGGCTGGAACTGGTTCTGACACTTGTTCTATCGCACAAGAACCAGAAAGTTTTCGATCAAGCTCCGTGCGATGACCTGCACATACTGGGACATTCCATCACAACTGGTCTGCTGGGTAGTAGAGCCATTTGCACCCTGTCCAGTTACTATAGTTGCGCTTGTCGACGGGAGTTAACGGAAGTCCAAAGCCTTACCGGAAAGCTGGCATTGCCCGCCAGATATGTGCTGCGGAAGCAGCCGCCAGGTGTCCAAGCGGCACTTCAGCTCGACAGTCCAAACTTCACGTAATCTAAACCCTTAGAGCCTTCGGCTCGCACCGTTGAAGCATGTTGAAGCATGATGCCTTGAGTTTGCCGAGCTGGTGTGGGGGATCGGTCAGAAGTCTATTAGAATGACCCGCAACTAGTGATGTGATGGCACTGACTTCTACCAGCACAGTACAAGAAAGTGCCGCGTGCCGCCCAGGGAAGCTTATCCGTGGTGCCCACGCGGTTGACCGAGAGTACCGCGTGATGAAGGCTTTGGGGCAGGCCCAAGATGGACGTGGAGGGGAGTGTGTATAACATTGCACCGTGAGCTTCGAACGGCTGTGTGGCGATTTGGCCAATCCAAGATTACGTTCGTTTTTCGTGATTCCTAAACAACGAATGAAACAAAGGGCTTGCGTCGGCACCTGCTTGGAGGTTCATGGGTAGTTATAAGTAGGGTTACAAGTCCCCTAATATGGGTTATAAGTACAGTTACCTTACTTATAACCCTACTTATAACTACCCATGAACCTCCAAGTGGACGACAGCCGGACAGCCTTTCGGCCTCAGCTGCCGGGCCAGGTCGGCTACGAGGTGCCGGTTGTCCATGCGCTGTGTGAGGATTCCAAGGCGCTAAAGTCGTGCGCGCGTGACAGTGGAGTCCGAGCGGGAGAACGGGAGCTCAGTCGTGTGTCAGTGATCGCAGCATGGCTCTTGCTGTGCAGGTCATTGGAACATCCTTTTACGTCATGTCTTTTGTCAAGGCACTGTGATGGGCGAAGATATCGCGTCTCAGCACCCCTTTTAGGACCATTAGGGACCTCTACGTAAACGCATGCGCAGAGCACATGCTGCTCAGTTTGGAGTTCCAATCTTGGCTTTGACATCTGCTGTGCGCGAGAGCAATATTAGGGAGACCAGCCGAACTTGCTTGAAGTTGTAAAAGATGGTCGCATGCCGTTCAGTTAGACAAGTCTTTCCTTCTGACATGATGCAATCCAGGGACACATCCCGGACAACGGCCTCCTGAAGCTTCCGAAGGCCGGGATGCGTAAGCCGCGCGGAGCGCCCTATGATGATGGCATCATGAAGGGTGATTCGTTGCTTTCATGTGAGATCATTCAGGTTGCTACAAGGACGACGGTCACGGTGCTTTGTGTTATTATGATGCAGACCTAGTCACCTACTCGAAGAACTCTCGTGTTTGTGAAGTGTGACAGGACCGGCGAAGGTCCGCTATGGAAGCGATTGTACAGAGCCTGGCCAAGCTCCCCGGCCACATTCCATACTTACGCTTTCTAGCATGCATGCTTGCCTCCACTGGAACACAGGAATGCGGCTGTCCAAATGTTGGACAGCGTTATTCGCACTTTCTGATATTCACCAGATCCCAATGCCGCTCGACCTTGCTGTCTTCAAAGCCGCAAACTTCGGTAATGACGCTGAGACCCTGGAACGGCCCAAGGCTTCACAGCTACGACCCCGACAAGCTGGGACTCCTCTCAGGCCCTTTCTGGCTGCCCAAGAGTTCTCGCATCTCACTGTAGCCGTGCTTTTGAAGTCGAAGGAGTTCTCTGACATAGCTTCGGATCTATGCCTCTTAAGACTCAGGTGAGTTTCGGGAGTCTTCTCATGCCTTGTTGCCTGCAGGCTGTTCGGATTCGGGCTGCTAAGGAGCTGTCTGATCTGCTCTTTGAGGACCCTGCTTTCATACTCGCACTGCAGAGCGACTCCTCCAGTTATCTCCCCACACCTGTGGCAGGGAAGCCCTATGGCAAGGTAGGGGGCTTCTACGAGCCGCTGGGCTGCAAAAGCCATCCCTTTCCTGCTATGCCGGTTTGGGGTGCGGGATTCTGGAATCTGCAGAGTTCGTAGTCAGTTATCCACCCCAGGGTGCGCTTAAGATAGCCGCTGCCTGTCAGGAAATCTCGAAAGCTCGCTTGTTGCCCACATCGACATCGTTCCGGGTCAGCTTTCCAAAGTCTTCGCCGATCACCCCAACCCGAGAAGTCCTACGATGAAGCCCAATTCGCCAGTTTTCCAGTTTTCCAGTCTTCGTATTCCCAGCGACCCACTGAGCCGTCGGAGGCTCAACTGCCTCAAGCATCAGCACCATAAGGTCCGTTGCTGAAGGGCAGGTCAGTATTCCGTGGGACAAGCTGGACAGTTGAACCCCTTCCAATCAATTTCGCAACTCCGGACCGGATTTCCTTCAACAGGCTGCGGCATACTGGCTCCAAATCCTACATACCCCGCTTTTGCGCCGAGGCGTCAGATCCGCACCATGAAGAGGACCAGCGAGGCTCAGGCACCCTTCGGAGGTCTTTTTCGGGCTACTCTTATTTTGGTGGAGTTGTGATATTCATTATTCCCGGACTGGCCATCATCGTTGTATTTGCTAGTCGCACTGCTTGTCATGCCAGTGGCATTATCATCATGATCATCATCATCACCAACATCATCATCATCATCAACATGGTTCAACAACCCTTGCCGGCGGTGGTGAAATTTCGCAATTGAGGGACTGTTGGGAGGAGAGGACGGCGAACGGATATTAGAGAGATTTTTGTTCGGTTTCTGAGACCGTCATTGATCATCATTACAATAGCAAAAATTGAAAATACTAATGAACATAAAAGACGAAGCCATAATCATGACCAACGGTAATACGGATGATGATACTGACAAATAATGATAATAGCGACAATCATAATTGTACAATCACAATCATAATCATAATATTAGTAATAGAAAATAATCACAATCATAAAGATAAGGATTATGATCATAATAGGAAAGAGGCGCTGCGCCAACTGTGACTCGGGCAGGTGTCGGGCTCAGACGGCCACATCCCACCCATGCAGCGCATCAGCGAGCTGATTCAGTTGGGGGGCTCAAAAGGGCTTCAGTGATGTGTTTCAGACGGCCAGAGGCATCCTAATCTGGGCGAGACTGCAAAGCAGACTTCGCTGTCAGGCTCTTTGAGGCGAACATGCCTCCCGACAGGCGCGGCAGTTCAGACCACTGTTTTCATTGCATTCGCGGCCACTTGATTGCGTCCGGTGCATTCAAGCGCAGTGCCAGCCGTACCTGTTTGGACTCCGGCTGTGCCAACCGACTGGAAAGGGACTTGAGTTAGTACCGCGCATTTAGGCTTGCAGCCATCGCAGGGTACCGGAAGGCTAGCAGATTTCAATTATAATTGACGAACACAGCAACTTGTGCCTGATAGGATCCTAATCCTTGCAGCCTTCTCGGCTGTACTGTCGGAGTTTGTATTTTAGATGCAGGTCTTGTGTGATCCATGGCGACTGGAAGCCCGACAATCTCATCCTTTCCCCGGACGGCCAGCCGAAAGTGTTGGTAGCTTGGCCTCCAGTGTCGGCATGTCCATCGCAACCGCGGCGTACCAGTGCTTGAAGGGATTGGAAAACTATGGCCATTTCCAACACAAGGCATGCCCTTTGTACTCTCCGAGATCTGGAGTCACTGCATTCAGCTCTAAGCCAAAACACCTCAGAGACCTGGAGCCTTCGGCGGTCGGAGCCTACCTGAAGCCTGCGACAGAGAGAAAGCAAGAGAGAAACGAAGAAGAGAGTATAATTTAGGGGCCTTAATAACTACCTATACTATTCTGGCCCCTTTTTTTAAGCTACATCTTAAGCTTGTCTTCTGCAGCTCCATGCAGTAGGATTGGGTCTGGGTCTCTCTCTCCTGTTCGCCAAACGACTCCCTCAAGGAAGCTTCCCTCAAACAAATCCTACAGCCCCGAGAATGTAGCAGAAAATCTTAAGTGAGGACCCTTGCACCCCACAAACCGGAAACCCTAAACCGAAACCCGAAGCCCTAAACCCGAAACCC